TATTGCAGGTAAGGGAAAAGGTTATTTGTTTGCATCATAAATTGACTTGCATTATAGATTTGCATTGAAAATTTTAATTGGCCATAGTTTTTGTGAGCATGTACTAATTTTGAGACACTAATATTGAAAACAAATAGAAAAATAACACATCCTCTTCACTCTCTCCTCATGTGGAAATGCGATTTATCTAATTGTGGATGAATTCTCACTGTCCACCAACAATATTCTAAAAACAGGTGTAAGTACGAGGACCTCGGAACAATTTATCATTATTAAATAATAAAAGCATTTGAGAGCAGTCTTAACTACCTGTGAGATAACTTGAATTTAAAGGGCGGACCTTCATAAAAATTCACCAAGAAATCCTCTCCACAACTTGCATTTCGAAACGGCCTCGTTGGTTTAAGATGACAGCTTAGCACCCTCTTCGAGTGCCCATCAAATTCCGCCACCGTTGACCCCGAATCCCACCTTCAAATTCACCATCAAAAAACCCAAATCAAAATCCAAAGTACTTTTATATTCTCTTTTCAGTTAAACTTAGTTTCACTCAAACAATAATAATAGTTCTGTTCTATAATTTCAATTTGCAACTTTTCTTTTTCAATATTCAATTATTAGTATAAATTAGGGACCAAATTAACGGCAAAAACACTATTCTTGGAAAGATTTTGTTTATTTTGATGATTACGAAACAGAAATTGTAAAAAAAAAAAAAGGAAGAAAAGGGAAAGAATAAGAAATATACTGACATAAAAGCACGAACAAAGGACTTTCCTTTGCCATCGCCAGAGGCAACGATCCTCAATCCGTCGGGGGACCATTGGAGATCATTGACCCGACCCGAAAGGACCTTGAATTCATTCTTCAAAACGAAATCGTTATGAGTTCCCCGATTCGTACGATTCCAGAGACGTCAGCGGAGGCGATCCACTCGCCGTTGGGGGAGTAACAAGCGACAATGACAGGATAGCTGTGGTCGCTATAAACGGAAACGTCGAGAGGGCGGTCAAGGTATCGAATGAAAACCGACCTTCCACTGCAATAAAGGATGGAGTTGGATTTGGCATCACCGGAGATTAGAATTCCACAGCCTCATTCCGTGGACGGGGCACACGCATAGTTTTCGATGAGATTAGCCATTGATCATTGTTTTTTTTTTTGGCCGAAAGGGAGTCTTTTGGAGGATCTAGTTGACAGGAAAGTGCGGGAATTGAGGAGGGAACTTTTTGAACGAGTTGGTCGCTGGGGTTGATATTTGAGAAGGACCATTAAGAATCGTAAGTTGAGTGATCCATTGCTTCATGGCTCATTCATGTTTATGAGAATGGTCTAATCTCGGACCGGCGTGGCTAGGAATGTAAATGAATTGCATTGCAGGCTTCTACGGTTATTTTTTAAGTTATTCCAAATCGAATTCAATAAAAAAAATTGTTTATTCGCTTAAATAATAGAATATCACATTTAATTTGTGTTTAACTTGTTTAAGTTAAATAAATTTATTTGTGAATAATAAATAAATATATTAACAAATATATTTAAATTAATATATTTATGAAAAATAAATAAATTATAATTTAAAATTTTTAAACAAAATATAGTTATTAAATAAAAAAATAACAATAAACAAATATAAATAAATTTTGAATCAACGAATTTTAAATGAATTTTAAAAAAATTTATTTGTGAATTTAAATAAATCAAATATATTTTTATTATTATTTGAGTCGTTTAGTAAACGAATCTAAAATTTTTATTTAAAATTTTTATTAAGCTTAATAAGTAAAAAATAAATGAATAAAAATTCAATATATTTATTAACAATTTATTAAAATTTTATTCATTTACATTTTTAGATGTGATTATTAAATAAACCTGACCCAAATATATTTTTTAGAGAGTCCAAATTTTTTTTTAAAAATAATAATATTATTAAATATAAAATTAAAAAATTGAACTCAAAATTTTGTTGTTTATATAATTAACATTCAATATATTTAAAATTCAAATATTAACATTACAACTCTTTTTTATCTCTAAATTGTGGTTTTTGTATTCAAATATATATAAAATATAAAAATAATTAATTTAAACTTTTATTTAATTGGTAGATGCATATTCTTTTGTTCAAATAGCATGGGTCCAATTTTTTCTTTTATTTCAGATCATAAATATATAATTAATTGTAATTAAAATTTTTAGAAGTTTATATTTTAATTTTAAAAAATGAATGTTAAAATTTATGAGATTCGTTGATACGGCCAAAAGTCACAACGATGCCCAATTTTAATCTCTCGTCGCACCAAAAGACTATTAAAAACAATTAAAGCAACATTTGTTGTTGTCAAAATAATTCAAGCACTTTTACATGCGTGCGTTTTTTATACTCCTATATTCCAGCTTGACTAACTAGTTTACCGACTATTATAAAGCTCAGTTATGCTCGAATGTACAGTAGGTTTCATTTATAATTTTTTCACAATTTAACCTTTTTGCCCTTGACAATGCCATGCGTCACGTTTCACATTACTTTGATAGGTATTATCCATTTCAATGAATTTAATCTCACAAAATAAATTTTATAAGTTAAAAATGATGTGAACACTTATATCTTAAAATTAATTTTAATAAATAATTAATTAAAATATTATTTTCATTTTAATGATGTACCATTAGGATTTCTCACTAAGACCATAAAATCTTTCCCACTAGAGTTGTTAGATATTGTTCGTAGCTATCTATTAGGCTTCAAAAATTTATCTTACAAAATGAATATCACAAATTAAAAGTAACGTGAATACTTATATTTTAATATTAATTTTAATATATAATCGATATGAATTTCATAATTTTTCATTAAATCATGACAATTTTTTTACTCCAATAAAAATTCATCGTTTTTTGTAGCACATCACAAATACTCTAAAATCTATTTTGATTTCAAATATCATGATTCTTATTAATTTGTGAAGTGTGAGGTATTATTTATTTCAACGTATTATGATTTATAATTTTATCATATAAAATATGTTATACAAGTTAAAAATGATATAAATATTTATATATCAAAACTAACTCTAAGAGAATCATGCCCCTTCATTATAACCATGACACCATGTGTGATCAATTAGTAGTACATTGGTACTGCAAGCCTATTTGGATATAGTTTAAAATATTTATTTGATGATTGATTTTTGTAAGAAAAAAAAAAGAAAAAACAGGTTGATTCTTTGCTTTTTTATATTCGGAGTGAGTGTTGTGATTTTTTTTATTCAAATCCAATTCTTAAAACATGTCACTATTCCTTTAATCACTTTGTCAAGAGGTTATTGGCGGTTGATTGTTGCTTTTATTCAAACTTAACAATTAATTTTTGACATTATCTTACCTCAAAAAATCATAATGCTTCACATATATAGAGCTTGTAGTTTAAAAAAAAAAGGACAGTACCACATGCCAATATCAAATTTTTTTGCCATTTATCATTTAAATTATATTTTATTGAAATTTTTTTTTTTTACAAAAAAAGTAGCAAAAAGTAAAACTGTCAACTAAATGAAACTTAAAAAATGTTGAATTTCATGGGCTTAATCATAATTTTGTTTACACAAACATGTTATGTAATATGTGCTCCATCCAACATGCATGTCACTAACTCTCATGAATTGTGCACAAGTGCTTTACACTTAGGACATCCACAAAAAAGCACTTGATCATTATCAAGTCTATAATACTCTATATTTGACCCATGCTCCACTACTTCACCTGATAAAGTTCCAACGAATTATTCTTGTTGCTCTGGAAACTAGAGGGACAAGAACCACAGCTCATGAATTGTGCCAACAATAATAATAATAACAAAACTGAAATTTTCCTTAAAAATTTAAGTTGTTGAATTAATATCCTAAATTTTGGTTGCAATTAAGAGGATTGATATGGTGGGGCAAACAACAAGACTAAGGTGATCGGTGAATTCAAGTGACAACAAGGAGTGGGAAGACTTTGGCAACGATGTAACAGTTCATTGACCAAAAAGCTCTGGCACCTGTGGCTGTGGTTTAAAATTCTGCAGACATAAGACAAAAACACCACTCTTCAAACAGAACATGAATCTACTAAAGAAATATCCCTTTAACCAAAAAGCTATGGTCCCATCCCACTCACTGGAAATTATGGGTAATATATATATTTTCTTTATTCCTTGTAACAATGAGTGGTCTCCCGTCATTGATGTTTAGCTCCATGCATAGAAAAATCTAGCGCCTTCTACTTAACACCCCAATCAAAAGAAAAATATCTACCATTACAAAGATATTCTTAATTTTGGAATTAGATTCAATGCCATATTGCAGCGTTAATTAATTTCAGCTTTATAACATTGCACCCTAGTGAAGTAAAATAGTGAATATGAAACTTTTTAATTTACTAGAGTGATAAAATTTACTATTATCTCTTAAATTTTTTTTTCAAGATCAGATATGTTTAAGTTTTAATGACAAATCATCCATAAAAAAATTATTAATATTTAAAATCAATTTTAAATATTACAAATAAAATATTCAATTTTTATTAACTAAACTTATCTCTCGATTATTATTATTTTTTTATGTCCAAGTTAATGATTTTAGTTGTCTACTGTAAAGAAACTATTTTATTCTGACATATTTCACCATCTTTTCTTGGAAATTCAAACTTCCAAACTTCAATGTTATTTCAAACTCTAACGATTGAATATAAATTGTCAGCAAAATTTAAGCTATAAAAAAGACTTCTTTTTCTTTCTCGGAGCTGCCCAGATGGACTTCGAAACTTATCTCCCTGTATTTTCCTGTCTGTCTGGCAATAGTTGAATTTTTGTTCGTATTAACAAGTTATTTACCCATGACTTTGTACTGGTTTCTAGTAAATAATTTTCCGATATTTCATAATTGATTTGCACAACTGTCCTGTTTTTATATATAGTATGGTATTTGTATGTTTGGCCACCACTGTACCACGGCCAATCAGATAAAACGAAGTCAAGCCACAAGTAAACCACCAATTAGCTTATCATTACTGTCAAAGCTCATCTCTGTTTCTATCTCTCGCTCTCTCAGTATTCACGCTTTCTCCCTCTGTCTTCTCTCTGTTTGCTCATCATGCAATGAAGAGATGTTTTCTATGGGGAGGATAATTCTGCTGTTTCATCTCCTATGTTTAGCTCTCTTGGGAGAGATCAGTACTTCATGGGCGGAAGACAGGCTTCTGAACCCATCAAAGTTGGAGATGTTCGTTGATGAGCTTCTAGATATGCCTAAAATCCAAGGTTTTGATGTGGTGAATACTTCTCCCAAAGCCAAGTCACTGACGATTGGCATGTTTAAGAAGAAATGGGTAAGTATTTCTTTCCAGTCATTCTCTGCAATCCCTTTCTTTTCAAGTTCAAATCTTCTTGCTTCTCTCCCATGTCGATTCAAGTATAACAGTTTGGACATGAAATAGTTTCTTTTTCTATCAATGGAATTCTTTATATTTATACATTGAATTTGAGTTTTAAGAGGATTCTGTTCTCATGGCGTCCTTCAGTCTCCACCGTCATACAAGGATGCCCAAGTTAGCCAGAGTCCTGTAGCTCCACTGTGCAATTTTGGTATCTTTTGGCAAGCAATAATTGAATATAAAAAGAAACCTGCAAGTGTTCATATTTTTTAAACAATTTTTTAGTGTGTTAGTTTCAGGAAAGAATTATAAGGCAAAAACTAAAGAAAGGGAGTGGAATTGTCAAGTCCCCCTCTTCCAGAAACCAAAATGAAAAATAGGAAGTCTGTTCCTCCGTCTCCTTACTTACCTGCACTCCAAAATTGTTTTAATTAATGTAATTACACAAACAGCAAACATAGTCAAGGCAAAAGTGAACAGTAGCGCTGTAAGCTTCCTACTATCTATAACCCCTTTGACAGTTGGAAGGGTGAGTGCTGTCCCGGTTCCAACCTTGCATGTTTGGTTGGGGAATGGACATTCCATTCTCTCCCTTCCTTGCTTAACAGTGATTCAAAATTTTGGTAGGTAGAGTAGGTATTCCAAGAAATTAATAGAGCGGTCATAGCCTCCTAGGTTCTTTTTTTTCTAACTTTTATTTGTAGATTGGTTTTTTTTCTACTTAATAATAGAAAAGAATTGATTTTAATATTTATTATGCGATATTTTTAAAAAATAATTGAATAAATTAAATATTTTAAGTTACGAAATTAATTTTTAGTTTCGCTTTGATAACGCATTTTACTACTAGCTTCTTTTAACAAAAGTAATTAAATGAGGTTGGTAAATTCGAGGAGGAGGAGAGGTTGTATCCAAAGTGAATTGTCTTAAATGAATGCGGAAGCTGTCTTTCTGAGAAACCAAAATTTTGGTTGTGAAACATCGTAATCGATCTGGTTTGTCTCCTTCTGCGTTTGCAGAAATTCCACAGGGACCTCCCTTCAACGCCAGTGTTTGCCTACGGTGACTCCATGCGCACTGCAACAGTCCCTGGTCCGATCATCGAGGCCCTCCACGGCATTGACACTTACGTGACATGGCAAAATTACCTTCCTTCAAAGCACATACTGCCATGGGATCCAACGATCCCTACTGCTAAACCTGCCAACAAGAAGGGAGTCCCTACTGTAGTGCACCTCCATGGTGGAATCAATGAACCTGCCAGTGATGGAAACTCAAACTCATGGTTCACTGCTGGATTCGAAGAAAAGGGCTCTACTTGGTCGAAGAGAACATATCACTACAACAATAATCAACAGCCTGGAAATTTATGGTACCATGATCATGCCATGGGATTGACCAGAGTCAACCTATTAGCTGGCCTGATTGGGGCCTATGTTATTCGCCAACCTGATGTTGAAGGCCCGCTTCAACTTCCTTATGGTGACGAGTTTGATCGACATTTGATCGTGTTTGATCGTAGCTTTCTTACAGATGGTTCCATATACATGAATTCCACAGGGAACAATCCCTCTATACATCCGCAATGGCAGCCAGAATATTTTGGCGACGTAATCATAGTGAATGGTAAAGCATGGCCGAAACTGGTTGTACGACGTCGTAAATATAGATTCCGTATAATCAATGCCAGCAACGCCAGGTTCTTCAGATTCTTCTTCACCAATGGGTTGGAATTCATCCACGTGGCATCTGACTCAACTTATCTTGGGAAACCCGTAGTGACCGATGAAACTCTGTTGGCCCCATCAGAGATTGCCGACGTGGTCATTGACTTTTCAAAGTCAAAGACTAATGAAGCTATTCTAGCTAACGATGCATCCTATCCTTACCCATCTGGGGACCCAGTCAATGAATCAAACGGCAAAATCATGAAATTTATCATCAAGAAAAAGCCAGAGATTGACACGTGGCAGGTACCAAACAAATTGATAAAATATACCTCCCCGGATTTATCTAGTGTGGCGCAAACACGATACATAGCAATGTATGAGTACACAAGCGACATGGACGAGCCCACGCATCTTTACATCAACGGGAAACCGTACGAAGCTCCGGCAACGGAGACTCCTAAAGCCGGGACGAGTGAGATTTGGAATGTGATTAATCTAACGGAGGATAATCATCCAATGCACATTCATTTGGGACTATTCACGGTGTTGGATCAAACGGAGCTAGTGAATGAAGAGGAGTTTAAGGGATGCATGTCGAAAAAGAATGACGCGATCAAGTGCCAAATAGGCAAGTATGCACGTGGCAAGAAGATTAAGGTGCCAGCACATGAGAAGGGGTGGAAGAACGTGTACAAGATGACACCAGGATATGTGACAAAAATATTGGTTAGGTTTTCTTACATACACTCCAACACTTCATATTCCTTTGATCCAACTGTGCTGCCTGGTTACGTGTATCATTGCCATGTAAGTATATCAGCTTTTCTTCCTATATTATTAAATCAGTTGGATCGATTAATTCTGTTAATACCGGAAATGTGAACACTCCTACTCTTGGCACATATACAGATCTTGGATCACGAAGATAATGTAATGATGAGGCCCATCAAGGTGATCAAATGAGAAGCCTAAACACGGTGATTATCTTAAAAAGCTGATAGAATTTGTTTCGAGATTGAAATTTTGGAATTTCTTTCTTACTTTTATTTTCATTTTAACATTCAGTTGATCTATGCAGGAAATCGGAAGGGAAAGACTGTTAAAACAAGAAAGGCAATTGTAAAGTTGTTATATTCTTGAACTTGAGTTCTTCGTTAATTAGTGCTATAAGTGGAGGAAATATTTATCAACACAGAGAATAGAACATATGTATATGATCTAGATTTTAAAGTGTAAAATCGGTGGGGATTGTGGTTATAAAATAAAAGGCAGCTCCATCTTTATGATCTAGATAAGATGCTGCCAAAGTGTGGTTTATACTCTTTGTACACAGGTTACCTTTTTTTTTTTTTTGGTTTAATATAGACTTTAAGCGAATGGATGAATTATATGAAATATTTCCAATTTAATTCGAAGATTTGATGAATTATATGAAATAATTTTAATTAAATTTGAAGTTTAATTCAATTAATTTATAAAAACACTCTTAAAAAATAACATTATTCAATAAAATTGAGATTTAAATTTCAGTTCTTATAATTTTTCTTTTATTTCCGACGATAACCTTCTCTGTATTTAAAAAAACAACTCCATATGATTCTAATTAGAACGGACTTAAATTAATTCGATTTATAAAACAATAATGCTAGATTGGGTCATTGTAGAGAAGAAGGTGAGGAAATGGCCCAAAATGTTTTAAGGATTAAGGGGCAAGACCGTCAATCCGCTACCAAACTGGAGAGCTAGAAATGAAAGTGCTCTGCCGCTTGCATTAGCATATATATGTAACTCGCCTTCAAAGTTCAAACGCGAAGCAGTCCAACAGCTATAACATTCTTCTTCTTTTACGCCAAACAATGGCGGCAGGCCGGCAGCCACAGCTCACCAACTATGCCGTACATGGCAATCACTGTCGAATCAATTCATCACCAAATCACGACCGTCATTCGGCCACGTATCACCTGCAACGCTCCTTACTCCGCAAACAAGTTCAGTCATTTCATTCTCTTAAACCAAAATTAAAAAAAAGAAGATTTTCCTTTTTCTTTTTGATAGTAGTACATGCAAATAATTTCCGGGGAGGATTTTTTTTTTTTTGGGGGGCTAGGGGGGGATTCAGTGGAAGAGGGATTACACGAGCGTAATGATTGTGCAAACGGGAGTGGGGTTCAGCATCGGAGGGTTCGCGGGTGATATTCTGCCTGTTGCTCTTGCCTTATCCTCCGTCGTTGATTGTCTCATTTCTCATCGTAGTGTAAGAGTGTAAGACTTTTTTCTTTTTCCTTTCTTTGTTAGGGTTTCAAAGAAATTAAATTTAATCGTATCAAATTAGTGCTATTAAAATTTTGCAGGTTCTGAATGCAGCAATGCTTTACTGGCCCATGCCTTGTGTAATGTATGTTGAAGGTTATGCTCTGGACCGCTTTGCGCTAGTCTTATGGGCTTTGCAACCTGTTCACCAAAACAAGGTTATTTATTTCTTTATTTAAAAAATTTTTCAAATACTTTTTGTTTCAAATCTAATGTTCAAGTTTGAGTTTCATGGATTTAGTCTATATGGATAAGTTAAGATTTTGGAACATTTTTATGATATTGATGTTAAATAATTTGTAATGCTAAAAGTTTGCAAAGAAATCATGAAAAATTCATATAGAATGTAGAGAAGCTAAGAGTTTTAAGGGTTAAAAAAAAAAAGAATATGACATAATTTTGGGACATTTGAAAAATAAAGATGGACATTCAATTTGAGATGATACATAATAAGCCTAATTACTCTTAGCTTTATAGCTGGTTGTGTTAAATTGCTAGCATTTAACTTTACCGAGCTTTTGACTTGATGCAGGTGGGATTGGTTCTTGATGCTGGCATAGGAGAGCATCGTTGAATCTGCCATTTGCAAGTAGCTGATGCCACTAGGGCTTCCCTTGGATTGCCGCTTGTTGAATATGTTGTCACTGACACCTCATTAGAGGTAACAGTTTAATTTAGCTGAGAAGAGATACTTAAAGTGCTGAACTCAAATTTGCCAATTGGGAACAGAAAATATAAAACATTTCCAGCGGTAGAATGCTATAGTTTCTTCTTCACATTGGTGCTCTACTAGCTGAAAAAGATGCATATCAAATTGTGATATATAAAACTATAAATTGCATCTCCTCGTAGCAAAATTGCACTATTGCTTGCATGTTTTAGGTACAAATTTTTAAGGTTTGAGCTGGCATGTCACTGCTTAATTTTTGTTGTTCTTGATCTTAGTTGAAGGAAAATTTGACTTTATAAAGACCAAAGAAGAGAATAACCTGATGCTCTACAAACTAAAACAAGTTTTGTAGGTGGAAAAGTGGGTCAATCCAACAACTGGGCAATCAACAGTTAGGATTAAACACCCTGATTCTTAACTGCGGGCTGTTAAGGATTTAGTCCAACAATCACAAGTGGATGCTGTTGCTGTTGTTGGGTGGTTCTCGGATGAAGCGGATGATCTTTTGATGTCTATGGACTTGGAATAGTAAGGCAATTATTTATTCTCTTTGACTTCTTGAGTAAAGTGCAGAGAATCTATTATTTTACCATTTGGAAAGTCTTTTATAAGTGCACACAGAAGGTGAAAGTTTCTGATGATAATTTTCTTTGATGAACTTGAACTTTGCACTGAGTGTATGCAATTGGTTGTTTTATTCAAATTACCTGAGAATTAATACGGTTGGAAGAAGTCTTCTAATTAGTTTTGAACTTTTTGGCTTTTCAATATCATAGATAAAGGATAGATGCTAATAATACTACCCTTTTTCCCTTTGCTCTGCTTACTTTTCCCTTGTTAGTAAGTCGTATTAATTTGAATTTTCCATTAAATTGATTTTAAATGAGCTCTGTACCCATGAACACTGCTTGAGCTGTGGCTATAATTTGCCTTACACTTACAAACTATGTTAAGATACATGAGCATTATTGATGTAGAACAAGTACTCTCAAATAATAACACTTAAGTGATAATCAGTAAATCTCAGTCAAAATCTCCAAAATCTCAAGAATTCTTAAAACTTGTATACCAAATTCCAAAATGTCAGAATCTCATAAACCAAAACCTACTAGACATCAAAATAACGTAGGTTTTTATAAGCTAAATCCCAAAGCAAAATAGCACATATTTCCCTAAAACCACAAATGCTTGAGAAATGGCTCTTTATCCATGAGAATTGTTGAGCTGTGGGTAATAGTTGCCTAATACTTAGAGACTATATTAAGTTGAAGGAAAATTATTGATGTATAAGAACTTAACAAGTGCTGTCAAACAATAACACTCCATTGATAATCTGAAAATCTCAAGAATTCTCAAAATCTATGTATCAAAATATCGAAAATATCAATATCTTATAAACGAAAACCTGTTAGAAACTAAAATAAAATAGGTTTTCATAAGTTAAACCCCAAAATCTAATAAAAACACAAAATAGCTAATGTAACCAGTATGCCTAAAACCCTAGTACATGAGAAATAAGCAAAATATTAACTAATAAAATAACTTAAATTATCTAAAATATCCTAAATTTATGCTTAGTATTGTTGAGTAACATAGCTTTTTTAGAAAAGCATGTTATCTTTCAGAACTGTCCTCTTCAAGATTATTTCTTCCTAATCAAATTCAAACAACTAACACTTTATTTGATTGTTATTGTTAACTATTACTTGTCTTCAAAGAAAAGAAGAGAAGAAGGAAAATCTAATTAATGTTTCATTAACACAGTTTAATTGCCTCCTTCAGTTTTATTTGAGTCCGTCAACCTCACAGCCATCATACAAGTTATTTATCTCTAGAAAAACCATTTGCAGAAAGATTATCTGCCATAGAGTTTGCTTCTATGAGGTTTAAGGAAAGATGCCTTTTCAATCCTCCGAGTGCAGAATTTTATTCTGTTAAACTAGGCAAAATAGTTTCAGGGCTTATCAGAATTTATCCTGACGACTAAGTTTTTCCTTTGAATTTGAAATGAGAGACACGTTAGAAATCATCATTTGCATAAAAATGCAGTATTTCTATAATTTAATGCAGTGGAATTATAATTAGCATTGAAATCAGAAGCTTAAACACATGATAACCAATGCAATGGCATATTTTGTGCAGGTCAAGGTCTCAAACTATTGGGAAGCTATAGGTGTTATTGCAGCTCATAAGGCAGGAATTGGCCCAAATTCTCTTCATAGAAACACAGTTGATAGCATTCACTGCCCTTCTGACATTGTTCCAGCTAATGAATTTGCAGTTTCAAGAGCCACATTCATTACTTAATCATAAAGTATGGATAGTGTTCTTTGAAAAGTGAAGATACAAATTAAATGAAGTCATCATTCTTTGATTCATATAACAGTGATGCAAGAGTTTTTGTTTCTATTATCTTTTTGGCGAGACCTCAAGGGAATGTAGAACATGCTTTGGTTGAAAAATTTTACTATTACATATATTTTTGACTGAAATAATGTCTATTAATTTCAACATACCATAGTGCTTGAGATTTGATTGAAGGTGATTCCATATCCATGATGTGAGCTGGTAAGCACGGTGATTGGCTTTTGCAGGTCTAAAGTTGAAGTAGAACAGCTGTAAAAGTTGAATCCGAAGCTACCAATTTGAAAGGAGCACCACTGAAATTTGACTGGGAATACCAATATTCAACCAACTGGAACGAGGTTGTTGAGATTTGTTTTTGATAGGGGGCAGAACTCTGATGGAACATAAAACCGTAAGTCAGTGCACCTAGTGCCTCGAATTGTTTTAGTAAAGTAGTTTAACTTGATGTAGACACTAACTTCTTGTTTTTTTTTTTTTTTTTATCAGATTGGCTTAATTCTTAGAAAGCAGTGCCCCCGATAAAGCTTATAGTATGATATTGATACTGTGTAGGCTTTTACTGCAGTTATTGCTTTTAGAAAGCAACCAAAGCCCTAATATTTTGGTTTGTCATACACGTTAAGGTCATGTAGAATGATTAAGGTAGCACATTGGAGGACTGAGTTAGGATCCAAAGTATTTCAAGTAATATATTGTTAATACCTTTGCATTTTGAAAAGAGAAATTTATTAAATTATTTTGAAATGGATTTGTGAGTAAAATATAGGAATTATAATTATTTAAAAAAGTCAAGGAATCTAATCAGCACCAATGATTAGAAAGATAATACTCATGCTATCAATCATATTGTGGTATAATGTTCCTTTGTTTCAAAAATACCGTGTACTATCAGCTCTTGCTCCTGAGACTGTTCTATTTTATTGCCAAAATTATTACTCCATACAATATGAGAAGAGCATGGATGCTTATCACATATGATATTTTATATTTGTATATATATGAGTGACTGATTGTTAAGATGTTTTGTTATTGTTCGTGAAACAATAGCTCAGAACCAAAAAAAAAAAAAAAAAACTATCAGTCAACGTAAAAACATGTGATGGTGCCAACTCCATTTTTCTTCTTTTACTATATTCCCCATTCTCACTGATCCAGACCTTGCTAGGACCAAGAAATCAGGCAAGGCTACACAAATTAAGCACTGAATATAATATGAAAATTTGTAATATATATTCCTTTCGTCCCAATTACTGTCAAAATTTTATTTTTTTAATCAAATAAATCAGTAATAATTAAAGTTTCATTGAATAATATAATTTTTAAGTATATATTTGTTAAACATAATTTAATCAAATATTTAAAATAATGAAGATCAGAATTCAAAAAAAAAAAAAGATAAAAAAAATCAAATTGAAACCTTATTTATAGAACTGACAGGAGCAATGAAAAGGAAACATGGAAAAGGATGGATAAGATTTAACTGTTGGCGAAAGACAAAGACATATACTTAACAGCAACTAACTAACAAAACACGAGAAAAAAAAAAAAAACTTTCATTTGCCATTTGCTGTCTAGGTATCATTCGGAAGTGTAGTAAAGATGCAGCCACACGCACGCAATCACGCATTTGCAAACCACCAGTCAACTCAACGAACCTTTTTTTCTCTCTAATTTACATCTATACAACAACCAACGTCCCTAACTGTATATATTCCCTCATTTGCTTATATTTTCCTTTGCTATCTAGGGAATGGTGGGTATTTCTTCTTTTTCTTTCGTTCTTTCTTTGCTTGTTTCAAGAAGATTGTACCTCTTTGGCGATTGCCAATCTGATTTCGTATACTTAGAAGTAGGAGTGGAGAGAAGGCAATGAGGAAGCCTTGCTGTGATAAGCAAGACACAAATAAAGGGGCATGGTCGAAGCAAGAAGATGAGAAGCTCATAAATTACATTCGAAAACACGGTGAAGGTTGTTGGCGTACTCTTCCCCGGGCTGCAGGTTAGTACTTGTTAACTGTAGTGCAGTCTCAATTGCCGTATGCATATATGTTAACAGAAAAACAAAGAAGAAAATTATTGTTAGTTGCCAAGGATGACTAATAAAGAAAGGAATTTCATGAATGATACTAATTGTAATATTATTGCTGGTTTTTTTTTAATGGTTTAGGGCTCCTTCGCTGTGGTAAAAGTTGTAGGCTGAGATGGATAAACTATCTAAGGCCTGACCTTAAAAGAGGCAACTTTGCTGAAGACGAAGAGGATCTCATTATCAAGCTTCATGCACTCTTGGGCAACCGGTATGAGTACGATATATGTATATATATTTCTCTTGTTGAAGAAACTTGGTTTTGTTTGAACATAGCTATTTCTCCAGCCGGAATTAATTTTAATATTCTCCTTATTATTAGAATTTTTGATCTTTTGAAAAGCAAGATAAAGGTTTGTTAGAGAAATGCAAGTACAATTTTCCCAAGAAAAAAAGGGAAACTCAAAACAGTCTTATTAATAGTCTTGTGTTATCATGCAACAAATAAGTTTCTTCTTTTCTTTTTTAATATCATAATAAATTGCTTACAAAGTTTTGAATCTCTAACCTCGGTTTCCACAGCCAGAAAAGCTTTAACAATCGAGCCTTCAATTATGCTTAGTATTGTTTTAATTACTATATATAATAATGGAAACATTTTCAGGTGGTCCTTGATAGCTGGAAGATTGCCTGGAAGAACCGACAATGAAGTGAAGAATTACTGGAACTCTCATTTAAAAAGGAAGCTTATAAACAAGGGTATCGATCCAAATAACCATCGGTTAATCAACCACAATGTGCTTCCTCGAGCTGAAAGTCCACGTAATTCCACTAGTACTAGTGCAACATCATCTAGTTCAAAAGTCCCAGCAGCTACCAATAATATTAATCCAACAGTGAAATCCCGATGTGACAATGATCAAATTTCTGATGCTGCAAGTTGCATGGAGGATGAGCCATGCAATCAGCTCCCTGATCTGAACCTAGATCTCACCATCAGTATTTCATCTCCTTCCATTGCTAAACTTGAAAATCAGGAACAAAACCACAAACAGCCCAACATATCGAGGGACCTAGAATTGATCTCCCCATCTCCCACACTTGTTCTCTTTCGATAGTCAGTTTGCTTCTCCAAAGGAAGATAATAGACAAAAACCCTTAACTTGGCTTGGGTATTATATACTGATGATGAATTGGATTCAGGTGTAGATCATCTAAATATTAGTCATTGGCACTCCCGTTTGTGGAAAACCCAAGAAAAAGGGTGAGGAAAGGGATTACTTGACAAAGGGGATCCTTAGATAATCAGCCCAAAAAGGAGGGGAAAACTAGATACTCTTCAACATACTTAAATCTGAATCCATTGCTGCTAAGAATACCTAAAATTTACTAGGTGGTGCATAAATCACCGATCAAGCCAAGTACATTGTAATTCATTATTGTTAATTAGTTGTACAATTAAAATCCACTGGATCAACATACATGTAGCAATAATTAAGCGGCATAAATATATGCATGCCTTTAATCTGATAGAACTGAAAACGTGATTTTTTTTTTTTTAATTTCTTGTTCTCAATGGCTCCTCCTTGTATTGGATTTGATGCTATTTACTGAATAGGCATGGCTTAATTTGTTTCGTTATAACAAATACATATTGTATCCATCCTACAAGCTGATAAATACTGACTAATTGTCTCTTCAAAGAATAAATTTCTTCATCAATTTATTTCCCAATTTGATTATGTTGCTATAAAAATTCTGGGGAAAAAAAAAGAAGAATCTACTACGTCTACAACAAAAGCTTAGAAATGAAGACATCGGAAACATACGAACAATGATGTTAGGAAGTACTTAAGATCAAATAATTTTTGTGGGGCTTTTGAAATTGAATGTCTCTTTCAGGGTACAAAATATGCATTCAGTGCATAGTTCATGAAGTCAACATGTGTCTATCCTTGTTGATGAGAAGCACTGAATATCAATTTCACTCAAAGAATTGCCATTAACTTACCCTTATATATACACCCTTATATACACACACACACACACACACACATACATGCATACATTGCATGCAAGTATGTATGTATGTACAATTAATTCATCATAGGAAATATGCATGGTTGGTTAAGGATGTGTATGACAAGTTCGAGGTACACATTAGGGTTTTCCATTTTTCCAATGCAAAGACCATGCAGTTTCTCTTCAAGCACCAAACATTCAAACAACCATACGGCTGATGTATTTTGACACCAGCTTCTGCACTTACTATGTAGTTTGCATATGCACCAGCCAACTAACGCGAGGTCACAACATTTTTAAAATTTCATCTTGTCGCATAATTATTACATTTTTCACAATAAAAACTTGTTTATTCATTAAATAATGTCTAGGATTTCAAAAATCTTATCTAATGCTCGACTAAGTTTAGATCAAGCGATTAGTTTAGCCCGTGGATAAGTTTACATGTTATTTAAAAAAAAAAAAAGATAATGGCATTTGAATAGTAGTAGTTAGACATATCCAACGGACTATATGTCGAAGTCTAAAGGTTTATCCAATATTTGGGAGGATTACGGTAAAAATATGAGGCTTACTAAATGGTTTTGGACAAAAAAAAAAGAAAAGAGAGCTGTTCAAAAATAGGTCAAGCCTTGACTCCAACATTCAAAGCTTGGAAGTGATTAGATTCAATCCGAATTATAAAATACATTTATTTTTTACTTTTTATATTTATATATGCCATATAATTTATACCACATAAAGGATAAATATATATAATATTATAGTGTAAACATTAAAAAATAGGTTAAGTTATTTGTATTTTAAAACGTAATAAAAAAACAAAAATACTAAAAACAACATAAAAAGCTACTCAAACTACAGCTCCTACGTCCTACATTTAATTAGATGCAATTGAATAAAGGCTATGAATTTATTAGCAGCACACGGTTTATACAGTTAAAGGCTATGAATTTATTAGCAGCACACGGTTTATATAGTTAAAACTAGTTTTCTGTATTGGGCCACACATAATTAAACGAGGGAAACTAAATAAGCACGCATTGGCTGGTAAATCAAATTAGATTGGTGCGTGGCATGAGAGTTTCCTAAATCTTTCATACCTACAAGTCTTCCTTTGAAGCATGCATGGTTACGGTTTGGTATGGTGTGTTTTCCTTGAGAAATTTAAGGTATAGCCAGCCACTTGCTGCATTTTGGGAGACGGACCTAGAACTTTAATTAATCCACAAGTCATGTTTATATATTTGGAATTGGTAATATTACATAGGTAATGTAGTTAACCCACTTACATTTGGGATAGTTTTTTGTGCTGAGTTGCGGTTTCAGGGTATTTTTGAAAAGACAGAAGAGAAGATTAGTTAGAGGCAAATGTAGAAAATGTTTTTTGCGTTTATACTCTAATGCGTAAGTTAGAAAAAACGAGATTGGAAAAAGAGTTATGGGGAGAAGATGGAGTGGTGTGTGTGTTATTTTCGTGGTGTCTAGACCTTTATATTTATAAATAAGTAATAAAAGACCATTGTGGGACAATAAGGAGACTATTGAGCTGACATGGTCTTGAGAATATTAGACCGACCTAACATGTTAGGTTGATATAAATGTCAAAATTACCCCTGATTGTTTGTTGAAGGTTTCTAACATGGAAAAAAGATTACTATACCGTTTTAACTACTAAACACTCATAACATTATGTTTCCCTTATGAAGTAGTCTGAGTATTAGATTGCTCGACATAGGATCAGTACATTCCATGTAGATCCAATAGGAAAAAGAAGATGACATAAAATGTGATTCTTCAAAGCTGACATCATGGAGGAGATCGATATTGAGAGATAAATAGCATAGAGTCGTGGTCCGATCTGGTGAAGGTCTGATCTTACACATTTATCTTGAGTTGAGTGCATGGTTGGTTTGAAGGACATTAAAGTGTTAATCGTTCGAGATTATCCAAGGTTATTAATGGAGTTCATTTGATCGACATGAGACTTGTGTTCTATTCCAAGAGTTTGAATTTGGGTTTTTACTTTGAACTTTGGTGACGAGCTGGGCATCCAATCTGCTCTAGGGAGTTGTTTGGTTTGGTTAGTTTGAGATAGGGTTTGTCCGATCTAGTTGGTTAACATAGGGTTTATCTGGTTTGGTCAATCTAATGACATTAAATGAGGAAATAGGTAGTTTGAATAAAAATTTTAAATAAAGAAGATGAAAAGACATCTGTCCATCTTTAATCTAATATGTGGTATGATCTGTGCCATTTATTTGATCATCATGTGATTATTTAAAGGGTTGTTAGGGCTTCATTTTTTCATTTTTTTGCTTTTTTAGCTCTCAATTCGATCTGAATTTTTGGACCTTAAAAGCTTTCCAACCTTAAAGTTTTTTAACACTTTCTTCGATATGTATTTTTAACTATGTCTTTTAACGAAAGTTTTGGGGAGGTTATAAGTTATAAGGTAAAACCTAGGGGGTTAACTCAGGTAAGACAACAATATGATTCCACCAGTCATCAGATGTCATAATTATGAGAGGATAGCCTACTAATTTAACTTGATGTTCGAGGAAAGGCAATAGCAAAATAAAGAAATGCTCAGGCAAAGGGAAGACAGATTCTGTGTATAGAGAAACTGTGTGCTCAAATAGATTTTAACTTATAGAATCCATCATTTATTTCTATCTCTTAGGTTGGTCTATTTTCTATGATCGACTTTTTTTTTATCTTCAGTTGTTTCCCTTTCTAAGGTTTGGTCTCATCAATTTTTTTTACTTCTACTTTTCCTCCTATCGATGCTCCTTTTGTCATTTTCATTCCACTTTAGTCAATTTTTCTTGAGATCTCTTCCTTTCTTGAGAGGTCTCTACCTCGTCCTTCTTTTTTTAGAGTTGTATTGCTCTCAGCCATAATTTCACCTTGAAATCTTGGTCCTCTTCATGAGTTAAAGTCTTATGATGGTGAAGATTATGATGAGGAAGGTTTTGAGGAGGAATAAGAGGAAGGGATTACCTCGACCAAAAAAAATGATGAAAAGAAGAAAAATCTTACGGAGCAAGATAAACTGGTCGAGGTCCCTGTATATATTTCTTGTGAACTCAACATGACCCTCAAAGATGTGATAAACGAACTAAAGGGCATGATAAAATTAAAAAAATTATCCTAACACATGTTCAGCTCATCACGTTCGTGCTTTAGTGATGACTTTTCTTTTTCTTAGAGAATGGTACAGTATAATAATGTCAAACTCCTCAGACCAGGTTATTGATAGACTGAGCCACATTAGCTCTTTATGTATTGGGATTCTTTTGTTGTCAGTCTGAGGTTTTTAATTTATTTTTTATTTGTTTTAATTTTTAATTCTTATAATTTAACTATCACCCAGTTCATTCCCAACTCTATATAATACATAGTTGCTTTCATCATTCTTTGTTAACATCTACATACTTTTCTTTCTCTCCCTCTATTTAGAGAATTTTTTTTCTATTAAAATGCACTCCAATGATAGGAGGTAGTATTATGTAATAGCTCGACCCGATATGAAACTATTCGTCAATTGTTCAAGCTTAATAAAAAATTAAAAGTTTCCCTTTCTTTGTCTTCAAAAATAATAATAAAAAAAGATAGCCAACTTGAGGTTGAGACCTAGAAAATAAGAAGTGTGCTCGACATTATTATGGACTCATTAGTGGCTTTTTTTTGTCTTAGATCTATCAAATTGAGACAAAATAATAAAGCACGCTAGTAGGGAGAGCTCATTATTGATGCCCACAAGTTGACCTCCCTTGAGGCAAAAAAAAAAAAATCAACTCGGAGCTCTATCTTGCGAGAGGGACAAGGTTATAAACCCCTATTACATCGCTCTCTCACAGCTCGAAAAATAAAGGCTATGGTTGGTCAGGATCTCTCCTTAACATCAGCACCAGCACTAGCACTTTTTTCTTTCAAAAAAATTAAAGGTGAAGGTATCTTTTCCTATTCTAAAAAATATTGAGGCTAGGATGTTAAAGCCCAACTCGAAAAAGATCTGTATAAGCTTGGAGTACACTTTTGTTGATGACCCCATTACCAACCTAACTGTGACGAAGATGTTTTACAAAGTTGTTGTCCATCATCTTAGTAAACACTACTGATTTCAACATAATTTTCTTATTATTTTTTATTTTGCTAAGTCTAAAAGCTTGTTCTACACAATCCAATAAAAATTCCCACCTCACCCTTGAGAGAACACCAACAAAGCCCTTTATCACACCTACTTTGCTATAGCTTATTTGCTTAAGGTTGAAAAAGATATTGATGTCTTGGTTAAAGAGCATAAGAAAAGCTTGGATGCTTTGGACAATGTTAGATCTAGCTTCAATGCATCCCACAAAAAAAAAAGGTTGAGCTGAAGAAAAAGAATAACAAGCTAACAGCAAAGCTAAAAGCTATCCTGGTTGATAAAGCTTTAGTTGAGTTAATGAGAAAGTAGGTTGAGCTTAAGTTTAACAATACTCAGGTCGAGATAATAAGGCTGAGGTTTGAGCTAAAGACCAAAGAAAAAGAGGGAGAAGATATGAAGAAGAAGGCCACAGAAGAGTTTAAGGCCTTTAACAAATGCCTTTAGATAAAAGTAAAGTTCTCTTAAAAAAATGGTGGGTGCCTTTCAGTTGGCCAAATATGAGGTACAATTTAAAATTTTCACCCTTAGCCTCGAC